GCAAACTGGATATGGTCAGTTCTACGTCCAATTTTTCTTCAGCTGATTTAGCTGATGTTGTGATGGAAGCACATCTGTCCTGTGAGCCCACCAATAGCCCATCAGAAAATGATGCCGAACTGGAATTCATGGCAGAACTCTGTAACACTTTTTTGCTGGAACCTCTAAGTAAAGGCTCCAATTTAGAGTTAATACCTGATAATGATACAGGGTTGTTCCCTCCAGATATCGGAAGCGAAGGTACATTACATTCTATCTTTTGCTTGGACAAATCAGACCCAACAGCAGCTAACTGCACGGAATCATTTCCAAAATGACAGTGCGTGTCAGAAGCTACCAAACTAGAATAATTGCTTTTCAAGTTGAAGCTGCAAACCTGCAAAGCAGGAAGATCATATCATTAAGAGACCATCGAAATAGAGTTTGCATCCATTTAATTAGAGGGGAAAAAAAAAGGAATAAAGACAAACCAAATATAAATTAAATGGGTGTTTATCTGAAAATGGGGCAGTTAAATAGGAGTGATCTTTCTGAACAGATCACATACTATTTTCAAGATTCTGCCAAACATTCTGCAAGATTGTGCATGACCTCAAAAATAGTCAAAAAACAATGTTAATGAAGTTCAACAAATTCTTGAAAATGTTAAACTAATTGTTCAAACAGTCACAGTTTCTGTTCTTACCAACTCCAGTTTTGGTAGAAAATTTCCAAGTAAAATACATACTTCCCCAAGGTTTCTTGAGAAAACTTAATCAAAAACACCTTCCTTACTATATAAGAGCTTCAACAATGCCAAGAACAAGAGAAACAAACCTTTTCTAGGGCATGCTCATCACCTTGAAAGAAGCAACCGTCCAGTATGTTTAGACGTCTCGAGAAGTGAACAAGCTCCTGCTTTAAGCTAACTAGATTCTGCTGCAGTATATAGTTACGGGTTTTTTCGAACTTAGCTACTTTTTTAGCATGCTTTACCAGCATCTTTTCAAGCTTCAACTGCTTTTGCAACAGCTTAACTTTAGCAGTTTCAACATGCACACTACTATCATGTGCACGAAGAGGACAATCAACAGAATACCTTGCAAAACTTAGCTTTTCAATTTCTTTCTGCAGTTCTTCGACCCTCTTTCTGTAATTTTTGACCTCTTCAGAAAGCTGATCAGCACGATTTTTTTCTTCTGATGCCTTCTTTTTATATGCTTCTGCAGCCTTTCTTTGCTTTTCCACTTTTTTCATTTCTGATTTAACACGGTTTTTCTCAATCGCCACCTTTTGTTCCATTTCCTGGAGCCTTTTTTGGGCTGCATCGGAATTCACAATTACATCTACCATGGTAGCATCTCTCTCCACTGCCTTTGGACCAAGCTCAGGTGAGAATTGACCAGTTCCTAGAGTCGTCCCTTTACGAGGTATGATGTTAACCGTTTTACCATATGCCATGAGTTCACCAATCTCCTTCTTCAAATTATCAATCTTTTGTCTATCCTGTTCCAGCTGACGATATAGATCAGTAGCACGGCTCTTTTCATCCATGGCCATCTTGCGGTTCGTTTCTGCAATCTTCTTTTGATCAGCAGCCTTCGCCACTGCTGTATCTACACGTTTTCTCTCTTTAGATGTGTTTTCTCTCTCTGCCTCCAGCTGCTTCTTAGCATCTTCAAACTCCAAAGTCACTGAAGCTAACTTTGATTTC